TGACTCCTCGCAGCGGGGTCTAAGTGCCACCACACTGCTCACGTGGGGACTGGCTCCCAGGAGCGAGTGCCCGGGAGACGGGCCGGGAGCGGTCGGTGCGCGGGCCTGGGCTGGAGAGCCGACACAGCCTCACCGTCTCCGCACCGTTGCCCACGGAAGCAGCGTAGCCTGCCCAGACCCCAGAAGAGAGGACGGAGACCCCACCTCTCAGTGGCGGAAGTGTCAAAGAATCTTGGCGGGCTTTAATCTACCCAAAGTCTCGCTGAGTTTGCAGTAGAGATGGCGTTAGCTGTGAAGAGCATGGGGGTTTTGCTGTTGTCTGTTCTTCTGGCGGGCATGAGTTCTGATCCTGGCTTTACCATTTATTTACTAACAGTCTCTGAGCCCCCGTTTCCTCATCCCTGCAGTGGTGGCGGTAACAACACAGGCGGTGGAGCCGGGGAGAGACTTCAGTGAAGTATATGTACAAAGTGCAAGATCTAGCTGGCAATAGCTGTGTGAACCGAATAATAGTTGCTGGTGCTTATCGAATACTTAGCAAGTGCTCAACGTATTAATATGCTTTTATACGAGGTCTCCTTCAGTCGTTCCCCTTCCTGGGGTGGGAGGTCCCATGGGGGATGGGTCGGAGAGGGCAGCACCCACCTCCTCTGGCATGAGCCGCATTTGCCGGTGGGTCTGCTTGGTTTCCCATGGCCACTTGCGGTTTGCTCATTTCTCACGGCCTCATTGTTAGGGCTGCCACCTTCACACGCCGCTGATGTCTCTGTTTTGGTCCCCCAGGACCCAGGTGCTGAGGCACACGTGACGCTTTGACACCGCCCTCTCAGCGTTTGTTCTCCGTGCTGTCAGCATTGTTTCTGACAGCCTCTCCTGTCACCTGTCAGCTCCCGGGGCCCACGACAGCGCGCTCATCAGAGCCAGCGCGCTGCCTGTTCAGCGGGTGCTCCGCTCTCAGCCTCGCCCGTGCAGGCTGTGGGAGCGCCGCTGTTGGCCTCCCCGGGAACACGACGATCTGCACTTGGGAGCAATTATCTAATTTGGGGCAATTACTCGTGGGTGTTCTCTAAGTGAACACTTTTGCAGGCTGTGCCTGGATTCTGAAACAGCAGCTTCCCAGTCTGATCTCGATCTGTTGTCACTGGAGGAAGGTGGGGTCCTTTCTGTCCCCGACATGCTGGTCATTGCCTGACAGCCCGTAAGTGGTCAGCCGCTTTCGAGAGTATTTTCGATGTGGAGACAAGTGATAAAATTAGGTTTTGGTGGGAGTCACCTATTGGTTACCGTTCCACTCTCCGCTCTCAAAATTTACTTGCCTTGGAATGGAAGGAACCACTTTAATCCTTCAGGAATTAGAGGGCACAGTAAATAACACCCAGCGAAGGGATTTGTGCATCCGCCCGCCTGTCCGTTGGGCTGTGGCCTCTAACTCGGTGGCTGGGAGTGTGGAGGGGCACTGCACGGCTGAAGCCAGCCAGCCTGCCTGCCTGCTAACTGTGTGAGCGGGGGCAGTTGACTCGACTTCTCTGAGTCTTAATTTCCTGTGTGTAAAATAGGGTCTGGGGTTGTCCTGGGGTCACCCAGGGACACGCTTTCCATATAATTAATTCGGATCTTGGCATGCAGAAGACATTCAGTGGATGCTACTTATCTTCTCGCTCTTGGAGGCAGACCTTGTACTATCAATAATGAGTAACCATAACAACATATTTACTTGTTGTTTTTTCTCTGAACAATTCTCCAGGCGTTTTACCTTTTGAGTCCTGTTAGGAAACCTTGATTCCCCTTCAGTAGCAAACAAATTGCTGCAGATTATGTATTTCTGAAAAGGAGAGGTATTTTGAAAATGTATAACTTCCTTTTCTTTTAAAAATATATTTCAGCAAATAAATTTCAGCTCAGTTAGGCAAAGGTTGGATCATGTGAGAGTGGGGGGACAGTGAGGTGGCAGTGAGGGACTCAGACTGAGTTCGAGGTGCTCAGAAGAACGAAGGGCGGGTCGCTCAGCTCACCTGACAGTCGGCTGGGCGCCGAGGACCACAGCCTGCGCTGCTGGTGTCACCTGAAATCCAGCCCACGTGGAGGAGCGTTCTGTAGTTTAACGCCACCTCTAATTATATTCCTAAGTGAGGGCGTCTTTTAAAAGAAAATAGGTATTTTTAAATATGCAACTAAGGTTGCCTTTGTTTTTCTTCTTTCTCTTAGGAAATCAGGATACGTTTTTGTAGTGAAATAAAGATCTTGGTAGAAATAGCAAGTTTTTCCTGATTTTCAACAGCTCAGAGGTCTGAAGGGACCTTTGTTTCCATAGTCTGGCCACACTATTCTAGTTTAGTTTAAGGCTTGTGAAGTCTTTCCTTTTCCTTGTTTGTTTGTTTGTTTGTTTGTTTGTTTGTTTTAAAATGGATAATATCTAGAGCTTCATGTAAGCAGGTGCAGTAATACCTGACTATTCTGAACTTGTTTAAAGAGTTTGCATATATACATTTTTTTCTGGTAACTGCAAGTGATGTCTCTAGCTTCCCAAACTTAAAAAAATGATCTGCTTTGTATTTAATGCACACACTTCGCACGCACAGTATTATTCATGAGCACGGCTGGATTATCGTGATGCGCTGATGTTAACTACTAACGGGCTATTGGCTCCACTGAAGGGGCCAAGATTGCTATAAATTTTATAGTTTTTTAAAAGTGAATCTTCTCTTTCTGTCAGTTCTAATATTTTAATTCTGACAGCTGTCCTTACAGGCTCTCTGTTCCTCATCCCATCCAGCACACACTTTGGTATTAGTTTGCTGCTTCTGATGTTTGTCAACTATAAAATCACATCACCAAGCTAATTTGAATAAATGTGTCTCTTGTGTTAGTGAGAAATATTTTGGCTATTTGGAGATCATTAATTTTTTTCAATTTCTAAGTTCTTATTTGAATTTTTCATAGCTCAGTTGGTTAGTACTTTTACTTTAAGATAGGTAAAGAAAAGGATTTCTTAGATTCTGTAATTGGTTTAGCTGGGTCTTTAGGGAAAAGAATAAATCCCCCAAAATTGGGGATAGCTAGTATAGTTCAACCGTTTGGTCCTCAGACAAGTACTCACGGTGCCCACCAGAGCAGCACTATGTGGTGAAGTGCCGTTACTAGTTTTTAGGGGGCCTGGGGGATGATCCTAACTTGCTACTAAATATAGATCTGTACCCTTAGACTAGTCAAGTTCATAATGTGAACAGTATGAACTGTGATAATACATTTTGTTGTGAAAATCAGTGCACTTTCAATGTTGCTGTGAATGCGAGGGGGAGGGGGAGTGTTCGGGGGGAGGCTGAGAATACAGCAGAGGCGGTTGAGCCTGGAGTGGCATTTCCAGAGAGTGCGCTGAAGGGGTCGGGGAGGAGAGGAGGGCGGGAGAAAGCCCGGGAGGAAGGGGCCGGAGCGGTGTAGAGAGGAGAGCCTCACATCTTCAGCAGGGACGAGGAAAACAGCCCCGGCAGGCGGACTCAGTCCCGATGGCGAGTGCACAGGCACTCGGCCTGTGGGGCTTCACTGGCGCCTGGTGGCTGTGATGTGGGTGGAGGGGGCGTGGGGCAAGGTGGGAGGTCCTCTTCTCTCGGTCGGCGAGTTTTGGCCTCCGTGGGCAGCAGTTAGCGGGTGAGGATGCAGCTTTACAAAAGCAAAATTTCCTTAATTGTAACCCCAGTTTTTGATCTACAGAAGTCTTCTTTTTCTAGCTGGTAATAGTAATCAAAACCAGTGTAGGGTCATTGCTTGGTGTGGTGATGGACTGTGTCAGTCTGTTTTTGTCTTCCGGCCTGATTATACTTCCTTCCAGCTGCTTTGTTTTCTTAAAGAACTGACTGAGTAAACCCAGAGCCTCCGACCAAATATTTTGTGTTAATCCTTTCCCGTCCACCCTCACATCATCTTTTCAGCGGCCGACCGTGAGAGAGCACATTAGCAAGTCACGGTGGGAGGGCACTCTCAGTACCTGGTCCCGCTCCTCACCTCTGATTCTGGGGACGGAGAGAGGGTGGTTTGTTAGAGCGCCTTTGCGTAATGCGCCTGATGCAGCTCCGCCTCCGAAAGGCAGACAGGCCCACTTGTGACCGAGGTGAAGAGGGCGCATCTCGTAGACCCCGGGCTTCTGGGAGACGGCAGCTCACCGTCGGTTCCGACTCGAAAGACCGTTCTTCTCGTGTGCAATAACTCACATGGCGAAGAAACAGCATGTTCTGTGGCAGCCTCTTTTCTGGTTCTCTCATCTCGAGTGTTTAAGATTCCCTCTCTCTTGAATTTAATATCTAAGCATCCCTTCAGAAGGAGTTGTGAAGTCAGAGTTCACAGTTCAGCTGCAGTGTGGCTTCTTAATTGGCTATTTAACTCATTTATTACTAAAGAAATACTGCTCTGCCCCTGAGGAGGGAAAAAAGGGAAAAGCAAGTCTGGCAGATAGGCCCTAACTACCATCTCCGGTTGTTCAAATGCTGCCTGTGAGCGAGAGATCAAACAAACAACACACAGTGAGGACAGTGGTGGAAACCCAGTGTGACGGTGGCAGCTCCCCGCGTGTGGTCCGTCCCGGGGATCGGCGGCACTGCTGGTGCCGGGCTCTGCGGTGCGGCCTGCCGCTGCCGGTTGGCCCGCGCCACCCAGACGTACAGCCCAGAGTCACAGCCCCGGGGTCTCAGGCGTCACTTTGGACTTCTGCATCCCTCCCTCTTGACCTCAGAACTCGACTCTTGCAGTCCTTAGACCATACAAGTAATTTACAAATAGATGGAAGGAAAATGATTTATTGTAAAAGCAGTAATTTTATATGAACACTCATTAAATAGCATCTGAAATTTGCAGCAAGTCTCTCAGAGAAAGAAAATACCTTTTTAAAAAAACTAACGACTTGTTTAAGTATTATTGTCTGTGAAAATGGTGTGTGTGTGTCTTGGGAAAATACTTAATGAAATACAGTATGTAGCAGTGTTGATTTTGGCTCTTCTTTTTAATTGCAGGGTTTGAACATAATCTTTCACGTGGCCTTGGCTCTTCTAAAGGTAAGTCTGTTTTTATTTTGAAGGCACCAGACTCTCTGACCTCTGTGCCCTTCGACCTGGCGGGATTCACCTCCCATCCTCTGGCTCATTTTAGATTCCTAAACCCAGGAGGAGGGCTTCTTGGAGGACCCCCCCATCCTGTCCTGCCCTCCCATCCTCTTTTGTTATCGTTTATTTAGAATTTGTTTCTTTGTTTCTCTTGTCATCTACCATAGCACTCATTCCAATAACTTAAAAAAAGGTTTTCATTCATATGAGTTAGATGATACAAGAAAGAAAGTTAAAACCTGTTTCTGTCAAAATGATGCCAGTTTTTTTCTTAAAATACTTCTTACCATAACAGCATCCCTGGAGGTATCTAAACATATCATCGAATTATTAGAAAGCTTCTATAATACACTGACTAAAAACGAAACTGCTACATTTCAATTTGCAGTTCTTTCTCTGATAGCTAGAAATTTATAAGACACTTTAGAATTCAGTTATAATTACCTTGTTGGCTTTTATATCAACATATCAGTGCAGCTTTAACAGTGCGGTAATAGCTAGACATTTGCTGAGGAATCGGTAAAAATAACTCAGTCGGTTTTTGTCCTTCAGTCAGAGATGACAGTCTGTTATGGAAGGCGGTGATTGCCTTGTTGATTAAAAGCTGCAGGCTTCCCCCCCCCGCCGCGTAAAGCACAGTGGGTAAATTTTCGGCCACTCGACCCAGATTTGGTTCTGACTTCAGCCCCAGTGTACGACCTTGAGCAGATCACTTCAAGTACTCGGGCCCTGAGTGTTGAGACAGTAGCAGCCGAGTTGGGGGACTGTTGTAAGAATGGGATAAGGTGCTACGTGAAGGCTCTGGCGTAGTGTCTAGAGAACCGCACTGCCCAGTACGTGACAGCGGTCGTTGCTGTGGGGACAGCTGTGGTCACAAGGTGGCTCAGAATTCGTGTGTGGGTTCCCGTCATGCCGGTGAGTGTCCCGAGAGGTGGCGGCCTGGCACCCGCACAGAGCCCCCGGTGCCCCGGGAGAGCTTCCGCTGACCGGCGGGTGCCGTGGCTGTGCGACTCCGCCAGCGGGCGCGGCTCCTCACCGCTGAGTCTGCGCGACGTTTGTGCTTCGGGAAGTTCATTGGACGTACTTGAAGTTGTCCACTTAATCATTGTGAGTTTAGGGATGAGTGATTCTTACGGCAAAGTTACTTTAGAAGTTAGGAAAGCATTTAAAATCCCTTCAGTGGAATAGCAAACATATTTGCATGTCTCTTTTAATGAAGTTATGGGTTAGTCCAGCTCTATTTATTTTCTTGTCATTAAAACAGATGAAAACCAAATAATTTTTAAGTTGTTTTCCTTATAGGGCTGGAATAAGCCTTTTAGAATACCCATGTAGTGAAAGAATTACGTAATTCAGAGCGAAAAGCACATTAAACCATAAAGGAATTGTGAGGCAACTCGACAAAGTTCTGATGTTTCCCAGTCATGTCCAATTTTTTAAAAATCTCGATGTCACATCTTTCCTGGAATGTCTTCCCCCAATTTTGGGGGTGACCTTTCTTTACTGGCACGCTCAGCACATGCGTGTTCTGTCTTTTGTGGGCAACCCTCTGGGTGTCGGACCTGGACTCTGTGTCAGCCAGTGTGTATCCGTCTGGTAAACTACCTGTCTGATCCACAGGGTTTTTGGGCCCGATTGTGTTGGCCGTGTGAACCCAGCCATGACCTGTGCAGAGGAGGCTCCGGCCACGGGGCAGGAAGGCTGTTTTATCTTCTCCAGTAACACTTGGTTACTCATCTCATCTCATGTTGGGAATTTGACTAGAGAAGGTGTGAAAGGGAGAGTTTCTCACTGCTCTTGGCCTGTGTTTACACCCCTTTCCTGCGTGAATCGGGAGCTGGCCCCACATGCAGTGCAGGTGGGCCGGACCGGAGGCTGTTGACCGACCCGAGCGAGTGCTCCAAACCCGTGCGGCATGACCGACTGAGCCCCTGGCCTCGTGTGCCGGACGGAAGACTGTGTATTTGTTTCTGTGAAATAACAAACTTGGGGACAGTTCGAAGTGGGGACAGTTCGAAGTGCTCGTGCACCCAGTCTAAGCGGTTTTTAACATAGCGGCCGAGGGCCTCCGGGTTCCTCTGAATGAGCAGCTTTCCTGGGACGAGGGGCATCCGGAAGGGAAGTCGTGTTTCCCGAGCAGCCGCCCTGTGCTGCGTGCTGCACGGGGGCTCGCTGGCCCGCATGCAGTGTCCGGGCGTTGTTCGCAGGAGAGCCGTGTGGTGTGTAAGCCGGAGAACACCGTCCGACTCTCCCCCCAGCTGAGAATGGGGGGGCTGGGCCCCAGGTTGCCTGAAGCCTTTTGGCTTAGTCATGACAAAGCTGGTTTTGTGGTACTTTTAAAGAGCACAGACACAGGCGACTATCTCTGTTGCTCAGAATGGTTTAAAGACACCTCCTTTCCCAACGGGAGCCGCTTTCTGTGGGGATAGAAATAGTCTTCCAGGTGGCTAGAAGCCTGTTGAGCTACGGACTCACTGTTGCTGGTAGCATCGGCCAGCCATTCAGGATGTTGGCACCGTCCACCAGGTAGGTCAGCGATAGCCCCCCAAACCTAATTCGTTTGCTTTGTGTAGCATCCAGTGGCCGTAGCTCAGTGCACTGTAACAGACCGCAGGTGCTCAGTCGGAGCTAGTCTCAGCTGCCTCGGACGGGCAGAGGACGTTTCCCGCCAGAACGGGCTCTTTGCTTTCAGACAGTGGGTAAAAGTAAACGACAGAGTGTTTTTCTCCTCTCTCCCCAGGCTCGTTTTGTGTCTTAAATGTGCATGTAGACATTGCAGGGTCAAGAAAGCCCGCTCCTCTTCCCACCTCCAGGGAGTGGGAGGTTGGGTATAAAATCTTCCCCCAGGCTCTATGAATACACACCACCTACTGCCTACCCAGATACGTATGTGTGCACGTGTGTCTTTAACGTGGGTTTGCAGATTATGGAGAAGATGGGGAGGCAGGAGATGAACTGAGAAGAACACTGTGCAAGGATGAACATGTATTTATTTTCTCCAGAAATGCCATTGAACAAGACTCTTTTGCATTTAATGATACTTTGTAAAAATCTTTCGGTGTCACTGCACACATGTCACTGCAATCATGGGTGCTGGAGCCAGACTGTTTGAGTTCAAATCTCATCTCCCACAGTTTATCCAGTGACCTTGGGAAGTGATAGTTTCCCCACCTTTGAAACGGGACTGTTAGTAATACCTGTCTCGTGGGGTTATTGCTGGGGTTTCGTGAGTTGGTGATATATGACTGGTGCCTGGGACTCTAAGTGCTACGATGCACTCAGGTGCCATTACTACACACAGAGCTTTCTTAACCGTTCAGATCCTGCTCAGTGTCTCACTGTATGTGCCATAATTTAACCAATTTTGTATTTAATTTTTATGAACATTTAAGGTGTTTCTCGATGTTCCCATTTAATAAACTACATACTTATCTGATACTGTCTTTTGGATAAATTTCTAGGAATGTAATTGCTGGGTCAGAGTGTAATCACATTTTAATCATTGATGCATTTTGCAAAATTGCTTTCTGATAGCAGAAAGTATGAGTGCATTTTCCCCATACCCTTGAAAAAGCAGAATTCCTAAGTATGTACTTTTCAACCCTCTCCACTAGGATGTTTTACCTCATCGTTCTGTTGAAGGTTTTATCTTTCTGTATGCTTCCTTTCATTTGCCTTTGCTCACTCCTTTCTTCCTTAGTCGTGAACTTGGAGTTCACAGAGCTCCAGCCTCCAGGAACTCACCTGATGCTTCTCCCTTGATGATCCTGTTCGTTCCCCTGGTTTTATCTCTCAATGCCCAATCTTATCTTCATAGTTAACCCAGACCCAAATATTTGTCAGTGGACCTCACATGCCTGCTTGGGTGTTTCAGAGGCACATCAAACCCAGAAGTCAAAACCGAACTAACGTGCCCCCCCAGCCCACTCCTCCTCCCCCCACCCCCATGACCCTCACTGCAGCAAAGGCACCCCCTGCCCAGCTGCTCGAAGTGGAAGCCTAGAGGCCATCCTTGCCCGTCCTCTTTCTAAATCTCCGACCCCTGCTAAGCGGATTCTCTCCTTGACCATTCACAGACACTTCCCGCGTGGGTAGTCGGGGCTCCGAACTCTCTGACCTGGACTGTTGCCGTGACCTTGTTTGGTGACTGATGTTGAGCACCTGCCAGGTGGTAGGCAGTCTTCTAGGCGTCGGAGAGAGGGTGCTGATGAGGAGAGGCCCCACATTCATGGAGCTTTTGTTCCGATGAGTGAAAGACGGTGCTAGAACAAATACAAGATTCTAGTGATGCGGTTTTTTATGGTCACCAAGAGAGTGATGTTGGTGCAGAGTGGAGAAAGGTCCCCTGTTTTGGATTGGCTTGTCAATCACAGCGCTCTAAGGGGTGATATCTGAGCTGAGAATTGAATGGAAAGAAGTAGCCAGCTCTGCCGCAGCCTGGAGAATTAGCTTCTAGGCAGAAGAGAAGTGTAAAGGCCGAAGAGGGTCTTCTGCGCTGGCAGGAGGCAGGAGGCCGGAGGCAGGAGGCCTGCGCCCAGAGTGTGGGAGGCGGAGAGGTCGGCGTCTGGGATGTGGGTGCTGGCAGTGGGGCTCGGAGAAGTGATGTCTGCGCCCCTCCATCTGCTTGTGACGTTGTCCAGTTCACTCCCACGTGGCCACGCACTTGTCCTTCTAAAACAAATGTTACTGTTTACTGTTGCACAGATACTCACTGAGCACCGATTCAGAGTGCACAGACTCGGTCAGTGCACTGCAATAACAAAAACACTTGCCTCCGTGAGGCCTGTGCCTGGCAGTGGCCAGTTATGACACAGAGCCCTAACAGATATGCAGACACAGTGAACGCGAAGCAGTCGTGCTGTGGGAGAAGGAAAGGCGCGGCAGGGTCCCGGTGTTGCGGTGGGCTTTGCGGAGTTAAGGGGGAGCCAGGTCTGGCCGGAGGGAGGGGCCCG